AAATCAGCTGACAACCATGTAGGTGCTCCCATGTAGGTAACTAACTGCTTTTCTCTTGCTGCTTTTAATGTTCTCCCTTTGTCTTTTGCTTTTGGCATTTTAATTATGATGTGTCACTGTGTGATGCTCTTTGGATTCCTTTTGTTTGGGTTTCTGTGCACTTCCTGGACTTGTAAGTCTATTTCTTTCACAAGATGGGGACTTTTTTTGTCATTATTTCTTCAAATATATTTTCAATATCTTGCTTTCTCTCTTTTTCTGGCACCCCCATAATTCTGATGTTGGTACACTTGAAGTTGTCCCAGAGGGATCTCCCCCATCCCGCATGAATTTCATGCACCAGGCCTCTAGTAATAATGACTGTGAAAAAAATGGCAATATTATAAGATTCACTATTCAACCATATAGTTTCCAACTTTAAGATTTTATACTTATAAATGAGTTCCCTCAGGGGGGAAAATATACATATAAAGTGTTAACTTGTATCTATATATATTTAAGTTTTAAATGTCTTATTATATTATTTGTTTTCTTTACTGAAGATTTCCTCCTTCCATACCTTTTTCCTTTCATTCTTTCCTTTTTTCTACCCATTATTCATTCTTTCCCTTTTTTCATGTTAATGTATAATAGGTTAAAATTGTGAAATATAGAAAATATAATTTAAAAAAATAATAAAGCCAGGCTTGTTTGGCTCAGCAGTTGAGCATCGACCTATGAACCACAAGGTTATGGTTCGATTCCTGATCAGGGCACAGGCCTGGGTTGCAGGCTAGATCTCCAGTGTGGAGTGTGGAGGAGGCAGCCGACCAATGATTCTCTTTCATCATTAATGTTCCTATCTTTCCCTCTTCTCTCAGGAATCAATAAAACATGTATTAAAAAAAATAATAATAAAATCTATCTATGTATATATTTCTCTTCTATTAACACTGCATAACTGGAAAATGAATGAATAATTAGCATAACAGATGTGGACAACATATTGGACTCCTGAAACTCATTTGCAAGATTTGCTCACTATTTAGAAAGTCAGGGCAATGACCAGTTCAGCTGAAATTTGGCTGCTGCTGCTAGTTTATAAAAGACTCTAGAGAATGTATGTCCAAAATTAGTATATTAATCTGTAGTCATGGTTAATAATATCAGTGGAGAAAAAGTATTAATTGTTTGTTTTTTGTTTTTACCCCAGCTGCTTCACATTCTCATTTTATAGTACCTACATTGGTTCATGTAAGGTCTCCTCGTGTGTGTGTGTGTGTGTGTGTGTGTGTGTGTGTGTGTCTGTTGTTTATTCAGTCATCTATTAACTCATTTCTTTGTTATCTCATTTTCTTTTCCAATTCCCTTCTTTCTTCCATAAGCAACTATTATAGTTTATGTGACGTATTTATTTGTAAAATGTGTAATGTTAACTTGTGTCAATATTATTTTTATGTATATAAATGTCTTTGCCCTATAGATCGGATCCTGTTTCTCACTTGTCTTTAGTTGGCAAATGATTTCAAGATTGTTTCATCTTTTGACCTCAACACTTATTATGTCTGTTTCCTGAAAATTCTATGGAGTGATTCCATTATGAGCATTTCTCCCTCTCATTGTCCATTTCTCCTGAAATTTCCACCTCTTACAAATAGATACTCAAGAAAATTTCCAAGTCATAGGGTGTACATGTGCTTAATTTAACAATGTTGTACCACATAGCCCTCCAGAGTGGTTGCACTTATCTGCATCTCCATCAAAATAATTACGTTTATAAATTGTAAATAAACAGGTGGGGTTTTTTTGTTTTTGTTTTTGTTTTGTTTCTATATAGTCTTTTCACATCATAGAATGGGAATGAAGTTGAAAAACCACCTACCAAATATATTTCCCTTGAAATCCCATAATCCCACACATGGTATTTTATGGCTTTTGATCTTTTTGAATGATAATAGTTAAGTAACATGTCATTATTGCTTTAATTTGTACTTTCTAATTACTAATGAGTATGGACTTCTTTTCATATATTTATAACACTTGAAAATTTCATGTGAATCATCTTTATTTTACTCATTGCCAAGATATTTCTTTTTTTTTTCTAGTGGAATGTATTTTATTACTTTATATGAAAGCATAAGATATTAGCGTATAACAACATAAAGATGGTGATCATTATAAAGGTGATGAATTGTGTATCACCTGCCACATACAAGGAACTGAAAAATATCTTTGAAATAAATAAGTCTTGAGCTTTTGTGTGATATATGAGTGGATGTACAATAATCTATGAAAGTTTAACTGTTAATTCAATACTTTTAATATATAGATGTTTTTGAAGTATTGGCCAATATTAAATATGGACAAAGAAATAACAGACATGAAATTTTGTGTTATAAAGAATAGCTTTTGAAAGTTTGAGGAACATATAAAATTAAGTAATCCCATAAATATGAAAACACATTTGAGAATCTTTTATGTTGATTGTTTTTTTTAATTAAAAAATCAGCTCATTATTATAATTTTAAATGTTGATAATATTTTAAATATAAGATTTTGAGCACTAAATCCTATTATCACTGTTGCACATTTGGCAAAAAAATTTAGATTATCTTAGTTTTTCTAATAGAAATTATTAGAATAGGTACTTTATAGGAATATAATTGAAGAATTATCCGAACACTCTCAAAGTTGAACAGTTGGCTAACATACATGTTGATAAAATTTAAATACTATAAAAATGTAATTATTTGCTCAAAATGCTAAGTAATAGATTTAACCACTTATGTGTACACTATCTTCCAGGAATTATTTCTCAAAGTCAGAATAAAAAGTTATATGAAATTTGAATATGCTTATATTCAAATCAATTAAATGGTAAAATATTACTTTAGTGAGCTGTATTTCCATGTAATATAATAATTTTCAACAAATTTTTGAATGCATTTTACAATAGAATTTTACAATTTACCTATTTTTCTACATTACTGTATTTGATGTCGCATGATATTTAATTCGCAAACTGTTAAAATCATCTTATGAATTGATAAGGAGTTATTTGTATATTCACTTGGTTATTGTAGTGTGATTTTGTAGAATTTGTAGGAAGTTGGAGTGGCAATGCAAAGAGGAAGTGTTAACTAAATGACTATTCAAGTAGTCACGTTCCCTGTATTATCTGATACCATTGGAACCAAGAATAAGGATAAAAGAACTGGAAAAAATCTTTGAACTATAGTATTTCACCATCTCTGGTGGGAGACTGAGTGAATGGGAAAGTTTAGCAGAGCATATTATATAGTTCACAATCTCAGATAAATACCTAGGCAAGACCCTAGTTTTCTGTATTTTTTCCAGTAATGTTATTGATGATTCTAAACAGTTTTGTTTTGTTTTTATGACTACAAGCATTTTTTTATTACACTAGATAATTATATTTTGTAAATTTGCACTGTTATTTTTGAGATGTGAAAAATAAACAGGTAAATCCAACAGAAGTAGCATTAAGATTATGCAGCTGCTTCTTTTCATAGAATATTCTCTACAGAAAAGTGACAGTGCAATTCCTGAATTATAACACCATTAATTTGATTCCATTCAAAATCATCTGTCATAAATAACTATTACTTCTTAATAAAGGAAAAGAATGTGTGTTTTTCCTCTTTCAGTACTAATTTTTTCTTTAGTGGGGTCACCACTGTCTTTTATGTTATTTTCTCATTTTATGTGTACAACAGCCTGGGATTGTTGAAATAAACCTAAGGTCCATCTGAAGATAAAGTTTTCGTGGAGTAAGTTATGGAAAAGTTGTTTTTGTTTGTGTAATTGTGGGCATTTTTATAGACTTCTTTTGCCACTTCACTAAAAGCATTTCCCTTACTTGCTTGCAACTGGTAATATGCTTTTCAATGTATGTCAAAATCATTAAATATGTTAAGAACTCAACCATTGAAATCAATGTTGAGCAATAGTTAATTTCACATAGGCATCTGTGAAGCACATTGAAAATGTAATTTATCAATAAGTATTTTTATTTCATTATCGCCTACTATGACATACATACATTTTTTTTCTCAGGTAAAGCTGGTAGCCTTCATAAATATGTCGGCACTATAACTTTGGATTGTTTTATCTAATTTATACCCAGCTCACATAGTCACATATTAGAACCATCTGATTTGTGCCAAGTATTTGTTCCTAGATTATTTTGACAGCTCATATTAAATGGACCAAAGAAATTAAATGTAAAATGTTGAAATATTATATGGTACTACGTTTTTTGTATGAAATTTTTTTCCAATAACTAGTCTAGCAAAGGACCCAGTGCAAAATGAAAATGTAGAAGACTTTGTTCAAACATCATTAAGACTTTCAAAATGGCAATAGCAAAGCATTAAGCCAAGCAGAGGACCTTCTGAGCACAGGGCCTTGCACTCCTTACTGCACAGGCAATACGCACTCACTTATTAGTATTTCTGCTGCTTCTAGTCCGGAATATCTTGCAGGCAATGAAGAAAAGACACAACGTGGAAATCAGTTTATCTGAGCCAAGTTGAGAGGGAGCTTAAGGGGAACTTCACAGCAAAATCCTAATGGCTTTCTTCTGCCCCTCCCATTCCACGATAGACTATGGAACTTGACACGTTTCTAGTTGCTTGCTCCCCATGAAAGAATTACATTGGTGGTCACAGTTATTTTTTATCTGGCACAAAATTGGTCTAAGCAGTATTCATCCAATAATGTTTTCTTTATAGCAGTGTGAACAAACATGCATGTGTTTGATAGAATTTAATAGGTTTCCAAAAAACGGCATTTTTGCATGTTGTGTTAGATACATTTTATGTGTTCAGGTAAGTTGATGAAACCAAAGGACATGTGGTTCCAGAGAACTTTGAACTGATGTTCTCTGAAATAGTGTGCTGAGTTGGTTTGCAAGTGCAAAGCAGTGTCTTCTATGCCCTCTGGACCTGGACTAGAAATAGCACACACTTTTCATGTTATACTTGAATTTGTCTTTTTAGGGATGCAAGTTTTGGAATGGAATGGAATTCCTTTAACTTCTAAAACATACGAAGAAGTGCAGAGTATCATTAGTCAGCAAAGTGGGGAAGCAGAAATATGTGTAAGACTGTGAGTTTTTCCCCATCTTTTTGTTTCCATTTTTTGGCTATTCATGGCTCTTTTAATTTAAAATTGTTAAGGTGGAACCTTTGCCAGTCAGCAAGATTTTCTGTAATTAGAAAATAAAGAGAATACAAGTTGTATAGATTTCTTGTGTTCAGAATCAAAGTTTAAAGCGTAGAAGGAATTCAGATAATTTTGTCTCTGACTAATGTCAATAGCTCTCCCCTTTCATACTTTTATTGAAACATGCTTCATATAAATGAAAACCAAAACCCATTTAGATTTCATGGATGTGTATGGTATTTCAAAATGAACTTACATTTAATCCATAAAGATTTCACCTTAAATTATCATTTTAATCAGCTGACTTTTAATGGCATTGCCAATATATATTTGATTAGAAGGGTGAGCATGCTTTGAAATTGCTTTATATCATTAACCACTTCTCATTTACCTACTTAAAAAATATTCAGGGTAGTTGGGGAAAGAGCCTTTTGTCTCAGGCTTCCTCAAATTTTTTCTTAATTTTTTTGTTTTAATTTTTAGGGACCTCAATATGCTCTCAGATTCTGAAAATCCCCAACACCTGGAACTTCATGAACCACCAAAATCTGGTAAGTGAAAGCAATCTGCTTTCAACTGTGAGTAAAAATGTAGACATGGAAGTATAGCTGCTCCTTCACTTACAATGGGGTTACACCCCAATAAGCCCATCATAAGTTGGGAATATCCTTAAGTCAAAAATGCATTTAATACTCCTTACTTCCCAAACATCACAGCTTAGACCAGCCTACCTTAAATGTGCTCAGAACACTTACATTAGCCTACAGTTGAACAAAATTTCTAAAATAATGCCTATTGATTATAAGTTGTTGAATAGCTCATGTAACTTATTATGTGTATCACTTTTGCACCATTGTAAAGTGGAAAATCGTTAAGTCAAACTATCATAAGTTGGGAACAATCTACAATTATTGAGGCAATGTAGCTGTAGATAAAGATATAAACAGTTATAGATGAAAATAAAGTGATAGACTGATGGGTGTTTATATATATTTATCTAATGGTAAAGAAAATCAAAAGCATTGTAGCTATATTTTTTTTAGCATTCTAGGGGAAAACACATTTGCATGTTAGACCCATTAAAGAAATGTATATTAAATTCTTGTTGTGTGATTTCACATTTTTCATTTAGGTCAAATATGAGATTAAAAATATCACTTATTCCTTCGTTTAACAATTATATATTGAGCACTTCCTGTGCATTCGGAGTCTGGGTTACTACACTAAATAAAGAGACCAAGGCCTCTTGAAACGATCATACATCTGCAAATGTAAATATGCTCTTGGAAGTTTCCCCCTTTGAGAAAGTTATAGTTAAGATTTAAAGAAGGAGAAGTAGCTGATCATACAAATTATGACCAAATTATGAATAAAATGGAATATTTTATCTTCATACAATTTCCTATGTAAAACATTAAAAACATTTCCTGAAGATGGAATAGGAAGCTCAATTTCCCTCTATAACTCAGAATTCTTTTACTCTTCTGTGATCCTTCTGGACTTCTAAGAAATAGATACATAAAGGTACAATTATTTATCTATTTTTAATTGTTTTTATTTATTTTTTTAAAAGTAGGTTGTTATGTAATATTTTGACTTTGTCAACTAAATTCGAATCAGTTCCATGGTGTTAAGTACCTATGAAATCCAGGGACGTATAAAGCCTTTTTATTTTGTTGTAGTGGATAAAGCAAAGTCCCCAGGGGTGGATCCTAAGCAACTGGCTGCAGAGCTCCAGAAGGTTTCGCTACAGCAGTCACCGCTGGTCATGTCCACCGTCGTGGAAAAAGGATCTCATGCTCATTCAGGCCCTACATCAGCAGGATCCAGTTCTGTCCCCAGCCCCGGGCAACCAGGGTCCCCCTCGGTGAGCAAAAAGAAACACAGCAGCAGCAAGGTGAGAAGTGCGCTGTGACTTTTGAGTTGCTTTCTAGTTCCACCTTGTTTAGACTAGTAGACAGGAAACACGATATCATTTTCTAAGATGTTATGATTTCTCATTTCCTAATTATCTACTGAAGCAAGAGAAAAAAACACACAAAAAAACGGACCAGTTTTCCATTTCTGCATTCTTATGAGTTCTCTGTGGTACCCCTAACAACTAAAAATGATCCATAAGTTTATTCTCTATGTTAAATCTAGTTAGGTTTGTGTGCTCTTGTCAAAAAGCTGACTGTTTAAAAAAAAATAGGTTACCAATAATCACACTTTGCTTTTTTTTGGTCTCACTTTTTACTTTTTGATCTCAGTTATTCCACAACTTTCCTCATTGAAAGTCAAGAATATCTGGTTTTAGAAAGCTCCCATCTTTAATTGAGGGGTAAATAGTTTCAGGACTTGTGTGGTCCTTCTTTTTCTAGATTCGGTTTTCTTTCCTTGAATTTTAAGTATTAATAGTAAAATAATTATGAAGTGAAAATCATTGTTCAGTAACTGATATTTTATCCTTGGTAACCAGAGCATAATTTCAGTGCTAATAAATGACTGTTCATATAATGGAGTTGAAGGAATAAAGGATACATGGCTTAGAAAATTTAACACATAGCCCTTAACTTTGCTAATGATTATATTAGTATTTTCTGTAATTATTTCATAGAATAAGACCTGGAATATAGCTGAGTCCTTTTGATTGCTCTCATTTCTAGGCTAAAAATTTAAAGGAAAAGTTGGCAAAATAAGTATATACACCTAAACATTAAGAATCTTTTCCAGTTAATTACTGAAACAAAGCCAATATATAACATGTAGGGGGGGCTATGGCCTTTTTGTAGAGTGGTAAGCTGGCCTCCGTTTTGGGAAATGTCTCCCTAAATTGATGCCACATTCCACATTGCCTGAAATTCTATAAGAGCTGAGGTCAGGTTTGTCATCTCTCCTTTTCTACAAATATTTCATTGAAATGTAACAAATTAGCAATTAGTCATTGATTCAGCAGTATGAATCAGTTTACCAGACTTCATTCCTATTTTTAAGGTTCTACTAATATAAGGAACTAATTAAGGAAATGAGAACTCAAATAAAATGGGATGGAATTAAAATCGAGTGTGAGATCTTAGAAAGTGATTGCCTGCTATCTCAGTCTAGAAGGGAACAGGAATACCCAACAAAGGAGATAAGCATGGATTTCATAACTCCTTTCTGCTAGGCAGCTGTTGTATAAAAAAATACATATTTTTTATTCCTTCATAGATCTTTACATCCTATGAATATTTAAATAGAGTACATTGAACCAAAGCGTTCATTTTCTTAAGTAATTGAAAATACATTATTGCGGTATAAAGTTATAGCTTCAAACCAGGCTAAACAAAATGAAAAACAGATTCATGTGGCTATAAAATTAAACATGTATTGAGAAATATAAGCAGACAGCATAATCTGAAGCAGATAAATGGGTGAAATATATTTTCCAGGCAGTGTGCTCTGACCAAATAGAAATTAATTTCAGGAGGAAGTTGAAATGGTAAATTTTATGAAGGGTTTATCTATTATAATGTATGTTTTTAATATTACAGCCTACTGATGCAACAAAGGTTGTCTCTCATCCAATTACAGGAGAAATTCAGGTATGAAAGTTTTGTTTTGTTTTTAATCATCATTATGCAATCTTTTCTGATTATTTCCACCCCCTGGTCTGCTGAAGTTGTAAACACTGTTAGAACCTTTTCTGTTTTAAAACACAGACAGATATAATAAAGGGGAAAAGTACAATTGCAAAGAATAGTATTTTAATACAAATATGTCTTTTCTGAAATCTAATTATATCTTTGGAATTAGATACCTTAAAACCTGCATGAAGCCTTAGTATAATAGAATTAATATATTTTAGGTCTCATTCCCTTTATGTTTGTTGAATGTATTTCCAACATGACAGATTCTCCTGGAAATTTGAAGTTTCTTCTTCGAGAATTTCATGAGTTGAACACTGTCCTCTGGCTAATAATTGTTAAATACAATTGTTAAATAATTGTTGAACAATTCTTTTAGAGCTGTGTGTATTTTTTTACTGGGGGGAGTAGGGGAGGGTCATGACTAATTTTAAATTTTTGAAGTCATTTTAGTGGATTTTAACCAAGAAAATAGAAAAAAGTAGTGTTAATCCCTCCTTTTAGTTCTGTGTATGTGTGTTTCTGTGTTAGTGTAATATATTGTAACATGTATTTCCTACTGTGCATCACAGTAAAAATATTAGAAAATTGTGGTCTAGATGATAGCAAAATGTACAGTAGTTTAGAGTAGATAAGAAATGTCCCATAGAAAAAAAATTAACACAATATAAAACAATAACTTTGAAAATAGTAAGTTCCTGATAAAGGAATGAGAACAATGAGTCTTAGCTGCAACTCCAACACATTCTGGAGGAAATGTGCATGAAAGACTTCACAAAGGATAGCAAAGATTTGACCTAATTTGAGAAAAAGCAGTGAGAAAAGGGAGTGCGTTCCTGGAAGAAGAGAAGGTATGGGGAAAGGTTCTGCTGCCAGACAGGCATGAGAGGAAGGAGGCAGCTTAGCTGCCGTGAAAGGGTCCTGGAGAGAGAAGTTGGAAAGAACCTTCAGGGTGAGCTGAGGGGGAGTGAGCCACTCAATAATAAAATGATCAGTAAACATTTCGGAGTAAGGAAAAGACTAATTAAAAGGACTACGCAATAAAAACTCATTCAGCAGAGGCCAACAGGAAATATTACAAAGGGGCTAACAGGCAAAGTAGTACATCAAGTGACTGTCCGACCCAGCAGGACGGAGACTGATTGCGGATGTTCTCTAAGTCTGACTGCCCCACTGCTGTTTCCCACTCCTGGGCCAGGCCCTCATCCTTCATTTCAGACAGGAAAAAAAAAGAAGAAAAAAAAAGCTAGTCTTCCTGATTCACAGTTTCTTTCTCTCGTTCTCTTTCCCATTTTTAAAAATCCTTCTTGCTTCTGGGCCAGTGTTTGCTGTGGTTTTTGTTGTCGTTGTTTGTTCTCATGTTGTTTTCTTTTCCCTTGTGCAGTAGTGTTTAATTTTATAGTAGACATTTATACTAAAAACATTCCCTCATAATTCTTGGGGTATTTTTTCCTCCCTTTTTTTAAACCCCCTTATACATTGGCTTCAACTCTTTTTTTTTCTTTTTTCTTTTAGCAAAACCTTATTCTAAGGAACACTTTATGTAGACACCCAAACAATGACTGCCAGTAATCCTCTGGGTGAGGATTACTGGGGACAGGCACCTCCTTTTCTCTTGGCAGTTACCTGTCAGCAATGCTAAGTGTTCTCTAAGGCCCTGCAGAGTACATTTCAAAAAGCACTCTCTTGAAGCCTGCAAGTTTTCATTTCAATAAATGGTTTTGGAGGGGGGGAAAAAACACCACAAGAAATAGTTTTGGTGCTTTATCAGTTAAAGATGGACTTTAAGGCTGGCAGAGAAAGGAGAAAATAGGAAAGAACTTCTTAAAAATTTGGAAGCTGTTCTGAATCTCACTGAAATTAATTTCAGAGTAATTGTATATTTCTGTATTCATTGTAGCACGCAGTTCTAAACTTCCCAATGCTCCTTCCTCTTCCTTCACAGCACTTTGTTTCATGATGCCCAGACTCTGGGCTTTTCTGTGTAGAGAGAAGTGATTGAAGATTCCTTTTTTTTTTTTTTTGCCATAAAACATGATAACCAGATCAAAATTCTGCTAAAGTTAACAATTATTTTAATTATGGAATTTTAGATAAAGTTTGGCTCATCTGAATTATCTCATTTTCAACATAACTATTACATAACTGTTTTGTATGATTATAAAATTTGTTAGTATTTTTATTTATGGATTTTCTGCTTTGAAATACAGATGTTTTGCTTTTTGTTAATGTAAGAACATTAGTGGTTACTTCACTTATTTGGAATCATGCAGACTTCTCAAATATTTATTAAAAATATAAATATTTTACTATTCGGTGACAATTTTGTAACAGCTATTAAGCATCTACGAGGCGATGCGTCTTTCCTCTTCAGCTTCTAAAATTGAAGAACAAGATTTGATTATCTTAGCCTCTCACTCTCCTAGAAAAATAGCAGAACAGAAAGAAAAGCTTCAGTTTAACATCGCATAATGTAATATAGGACGAGGTACATTTTACACCTTCTGAAATATTCCTGCATTTCAGTAGTGATAACTTTATCTTTAAAAAATGATTCCACCCACTGCTAATTATTTGGTGAAATGCAAATGACATTTTCTAATAAGTGTATCAACTAGTTAATTTAATTTCAGAATTCCAATAATTGTATGCATGAATGTTAAACATTTACTCTTTTCCTAAAAGTAGATATTTCATTTAAAAATGCAACTAGAATCCACTGTATGATTTTCCTTCTAAATGAATTTTAAACAGGCCAGGAGTTTTACCTCAGAAAAAATGAATGGCACTTTTGCTAGTCATTAACATGTGCCTGGGAACTCCCAATTAAATTATGCACTTAATGGTCTGTTCAGTTTCAAGTAAAATGGAAATGAGGATTGATGCTTCTTATGAGAACAAAAAAGAAAATACTTGTCAAATCTTGACTGGTAATGTTTTTAAAATAAAAACAAAAACAAAATAATATTGCCAAATATGTTCCTATCTCTTTAAGCTTCAAATCAACTATGATCTTGGCAATCTCATAATACACATTCTCCAAGCAAGAAACTTAGTCCCTCGAGACAACAATGGTTATTCTGACCCCTTTGTTAAAGTGTACCTTCTTCCAGGGCGAGGGTAAGTAAAGAAACAATTTCTTCTAAGTAATGCATTCCCTTATTTAAAAAAGAATGATATAATATCTCCCAGTCTCTAATTTTAAAGAGTTTGATGTCATTTCCTTACTTTTATCCACATGAAATATTTATTCATAGGTAGCAGATCAGGTGGAATTAAAATGTATAATTAAGCCTTAAAGGATTCTAGGAGAGCCTTTAGTCACAATAAAGCCTGCCTAGGTGAGAGAGAGCACATCAGTGATTACAATCTGGAAGCCAATTCTGCTATGGCCATAATCAGATTGTGTGTGAAATCATTTAATGAAATTATGTGTGGGGGATTTTAAAATGACCTTGCATTCCCTCATTTATTTGTGGAACCAATGTTCAAGGACACATAACTTGGTACTTTATATCAAGGGACATATTGATATATTATTCAATATCTTAAATGTTCATTAAGTGATGTGTTGATGCATCCTTATTCACATGCATATTTCAAATCAATTTTTTAAAAATACTAATAAAATAAGATAAAAACAAGCCAGCTGAAATGTCTACTTTGGTAAATAAAAGAAAATTATCTCTGAATCTGTTGTGTGTTATATAAACTGTTCATATAAAGCGAAATCTTTATGGAGATATTTAATTTTCGCATAATAAATGGAAATTTTCTATGTTCTAATATATAAATCAATACTCAAGGATGGTTTCAAAACAGTGATTTGGACCCAGCAGATTGTTATACATACTGTATATGAACAATTTATATTAGCCAAATTAGCATAATGGAAACATAAGTAATCAACAAAAATTTTGGATTGGTAACTTGAAAATTCTGGTTTTATTTTTGTTCATTTTGTTTATTTTTCAATTTAAGGAGTGACATTCAAATATTAATTTTCACTTGGAAATTTTCTATTTCCTAGCCAGTCATGTTTCATTTGGCCCACATATATGCCCTCCATACAGATTATTTTAAAGTAGATGTCAACTATATAACTTTTTTCTGCAAATACTTCAGGATATGTTTCTAAAAGGTAACTCATTTCAAAAATAATCATAATATCACCTATAACCATATTAATTTTTTTAAAATATATAAGTAAATGCCTTAATTTCTCCAATTGCTCTATGATATTTTGCTAGTTTGTATGATGACCTAATAATTATAGAACATTTTACACATCAATAACATAATACATATTCTTTTCAAGTGTATATGGAACATTCACCAAGATAAACTATGTTCTGGCCTATAAAATGAACCAACAATTTAAAAGCATTGAAATCATACAAAAACTTGTTTATAACTGTATTTGGTTTGTTTGAATAGGATCCAAATTAGAGTTATGCCTTGCATCTGAATCTGCTATGTGCTAATTATATCACCACAGGCAGATCACCAAATCTTTGAGATTTAGTTTGCTTATTGATATTGAGAGAGCCAAGGTAGGCAGAGCCATACTTTTTAGTTTGTCAGGGGAATCAAATTAGATAACATTCAGAAAATAATTTGAAAAATGCCAGATGCTCTAACAAATTCAGTATACAGCCTTTAATTTTATCCTACCTAATAACTTTATTTAGAAACATATCACTGGTATAAATTAAATAGTTTTAATTTATTTACTTAATTTATAAAGATCACCAACTAGCCATATAGTGCAAGAAAAGTTTTTATTTTATGGCAATTCATTTATATCTTTATGTACTAGTTATAACTGTAACTTGACTAAATGTTTTAAACATGAGTATAACAACAAACTGATAACTTAATTCTGCCTTTGATTTAGGTCATTAGACCTTCAGTGTTATTTAATCAGAATATAATTGGATAAGAGGAAATCACTGGCAGGGGTCTATCTCTGTTTAACATTTGCTAATGAATTAAAATAAAACACTGTCATTTAGTTCCTATCTTTGATAATATCCTGGAGTATCATCTTTCAAACAATATTAGAGTACCTTTCTTTTATCTATTACAGGACTATGTTTCAGTTAGACTATTACACACTTGAATAAGCAGAAAGGACAGGCAGGTTACCTAAATATGTCAGTCCATTCTGGGGTAGCAGGGTAAGGTGGGGGCTATTGTGAAATGAAGAGTGAGATTCCCACCGAAAGCCATCCTCATGCAGTTTGTCAAACAAAGCATTCTGCTTGGTGGGATTTGGCCTGAAGGCAGCTAATATGCTACTCCTGTTCAATTCCTAGTCCTTTATTAAATTACTCCCAATTACTACAGTGGCCGAGGCCTCTGGGTTGATTGCACTTGTGAGGTATTATTTCTGCTTTAGTTAAAAGATTATTTTCTGCCTCATGTAATTTTGTAGGTTAAGGTATTGCTCCTTAATTATTATTCTCATGTTTTCTTCCTTCTGTCCCTAACTTTTTTCTTTCTGTCTTTCCTACTTCCTGTCGTATCCTTCACTTGCGCTCTTGGAATCAATGCAGTCAAGTCATGGTTGTCCAGAATGCAAGGTAGAGTTGGCTCTCTTTCAGTGTTAAGACAGTACTATGCTGTACTGTCTGGAGTTTTTCATTTTATTTTTGCCTTTTCCTGTACATACACCTACAGTTCAACTTGGGCTATAGTTGTTATTTTCTATATGTTGGTGTCTGTGAATTAGACAAATAGCAAATTGTTCCAACCAAAACATTAAGAAATAGTTTTAGCAGATGTATGCAATAGAACATTAAAAAAATATATATTTAAAACATAAAAAGAGTATGAATAAGGAAATGTCACCCCGAAATTAGGCATATTGCAAGTTTTGTTTGTTTTTAATACGTTTTTAATTTCAGAGAGGCAGGGAGAGGGAGAGAGAACTAGAAACATCAATAATGAGATTCACTGATCAGCTGCCTGCTGCACGGCCGGCTAGGGATCCAGCCCACAACTCGGGCACGTGTCTTGACCAGGAATTGAACTGTGACTTCCTGGTTTATACATCAGTGCTCAACCACTGAGCCACATGGCTGTGCGCAAAAGTTTTTATTCATGATGCTTACACTGAAATTCAGGTAGCCTCCCATGTGGTATCATGCCTTCCGTACACCTGGGTGTTCCGTTACAAATTTTAAAAAGCTGATCATTTTCCAAAGGAATGAACTGATCTGGATGTCTATACTAGATGTGTATCTCATCTTAAAGACAATAGTTGCTGGTCTTTATCCTTCACTTAGACCTTGATATGGAAACATTTCCACGCCCCGATACCTTCTGCACATCAAAATGATTGCCATGCGATATAGGATGCCATAACCTGCCATGCGATATAGGATGCCATAACCTGCCTGCTCTAGAGTGTTAGGAACAACACATGAGCATCTTTTGTTTGCCAATAGTCAGAAACTGTGGCATCAGTACATTGTCAGCTTGGGCTATCTCTCAAAACACAACCAAAAGTTTCCATGGGCACATCTCATTGCATTATAAATGAAATGTGTTATTCAGTTTGGGAAGAGAATCTTGTACCATCTGTAGCAATAAGGTTATGGGAATTTTAAACCCACCAGAATATTTATGGTACAGGATTTGTTTTTGTCAATGACATTAAAATTTGACATTTTTACTAATCCTGACAAGCTGTGCCCAAAAGAGGCTGTTTCTGGTTTTTAAAGGCTTAAGTGTTTAAGAATTTTAAAGAATAAGATTATTCACTATGTCTGTCCACTGCCCAGAAACTTTTTGTTTCCCTGTAGCTCCATAATTATGGCAAATAGTAAAAATACGACTCTGTGAAAGGTGGCTTGATTGGACTGGCTCTGTCATCTCAGGATGCCATCCGGATCTCAGACTGACACGCAAAATTACTGATTCCAAAGAGGTAGTGTCATTTTGGAACAGACGTTATCAGCCACTTTATTTAGAACCTCGCTGTCTTTTAGCCAGAGAAATTGGGGGGACATTGTCAGAATGACAGCGCTTGTCTGCATTTACCTTCGAAGAGAACGTGTTTCCTGAGTGTAAGTAATGATTGAAATAGCCTAGGCTGTGTTGGATTGCAATTTGGAAGACCTAGAAATCACTTTCTCATCCTATATTTCACCTAGAAGTCACTTTTATCCTCATCTCTGAGAACTGGCAATGAAAGAAGGAATTACAGTATAATGGCAAGGCAATGACATTGTATGTTAGGCTAAAGGGGTCAGTGAGTAAAGTCTTTTTAAAAAAATTGCATTTGGATTTCAGTCCTGCCAAGGACAGGTAGTGAGGTTTCTCTAAAACTATTTCTTTTCTGCTAGATAGGACTTACAACAGGCCTCCTCCCGGGCCTTTTGTGAAACACCTGGAACAATATACCAAAAGTGATCATGGGCGGCACTTAATAAGCTCTCAATAAATGGTTGCCGTTGTTACTGCTCATAACATGTACAATAAGCTTCGTGTAGCCAAAGGTCAGTTATCTCTGAGGGGGGGAAAGATACAGAATGCTTAGGCTACTCAACTACCTCAAATTATTTTTACAAACACTATATAGAAAACCAGACATCTTTCTTTTCTTCAGCTTCAATAACAAAATGTAGCCCTGGCTGGTGTTGCAAAATGGTTAGAGCATTGGCAGAGCACCACAGGGTGAAGGGCTGGATTCCTGGTCAAGGGCACACAGCTGGTGTGAAGTTTTAGTCTCCGGTCCTAGTCAGGGAACATGAGGGAGGCAATCAATGGATGTGTCTCCCTTACACCTATGTTCATTCTCTCTCTCTCTCTCTCTCTCTCTCTCTCTCTCTCTCTCTCTCTCTCTCTCTCTCTCTCTCTCTCTCTCTCTCTCTCTCTCTCTCTCTCTCTCTCTCTCTCTCTCTCTCCCCTCCACCTCCATACCTCCCTTTCCAGTTTCTCTATAAAGCAATGGAAAAGTTATATATACTAGGGTGAGGATTAATAAATAATACTAATAAATAATGTAATACATTTGTCATTTCACTGGTCCAGTGTTTTTTTGTCTTCTTTCATTTTCTCTTTACCCTCTGCTCAATATACTTATAATCACAGAAAGTCCAAATGTCAGCCAAGAAGAGGCTAAAGAAAGAAAAAGAGAGCCTGAAGAGCCCATGAACTGAATAACTGATGGATAGAAATAAGGCTCTGTGAGAGATCTCATCCTGGTTTTCTTTCAGTACCCTTTTGGACAAAGTACATAATTTTTCCCATTAATGAGAGTTTGCTATCACTGAAGCTGGTTTTAGCTATCATTAGCCCTGAAAACCTAGTTCCTGGCTGAACTTTCTCTAAACATCCTTGTTAGTATATGTGATTTCTGCAGTCCCAGGTGTGGTATATATTTACAATTTGAAGGCCAAAAGTTATTTCACTGCAATGAATTGTGAAAGAAAAAAAGTATGTTTTAGGGGTGCATCCAATAAATATTTAGCACAGACTGTGCCAGGTACTGTGCTAGGTTCTGGGGTTAGAGTTGACAACACAGATATTGTCTTTGATCTCAGAAAGCAGAGGAAAAGAAAGTGATGGTCCATAAACACACCAGTACAAAGAAAAATAACTTATAAAATGGGATGTGCTCTGAACATCTTCTAAATCGAAAGAAGAGTAATTTTGGAAAAATTATATACATTTATTGAAAATATACTTTTGCATTAAAGGAATATTGCAATATTGAATATATATATATATATATATATATACACACACACAATAAAGAAAAACTAAAATTTTAAAATGAGGACCTTAAATATTATTTAATTTTATAAAAGTTAAATATAAAGAAACCATCATATATTCCATTCTTCATTATCAAGTCATTGGTCAATTTTATATATGATCTTTTTATCAAAATTTTAAATTAAAAAGAGAAACTTAGAGAACTGTTTTCAGCTGGATTAAGGTAGAATGATTATGTTTTAAATATATCATTTTCTGTCCATTTTAAAAGCATATCTGCTTATGACTGGCCAATAAGAAAAAATAAGTTAAAACTTCACAGGAATGAAGGTTTAGTCTGTTTAGTTGTGTGTGTGTGTGTGTGTTTTTTAATATATATATATATATAAACATCATGCCCATATTGAGAAATTGATTTTTTATTTTCATTCCTTATTAGAAAACTTCTTTGATTATTAGATATAGCTAATTGTCCTAATATAATATCATTATGTAATCTTCCCAGGAGGGAATGTAGTGTGTTTACTAGACAAGGAAGAAAAAAGAAATTGAGCTCCACTATTTTCTCAACCTGAAATTTTGCTCATATTTAACCCCCCCCTTATCTGGCCATCTTCAACTTGTACTTGTGTAATGTGGCAACAAGCCCATTGGGATCATGCTCAAGATGGTCAGGACATGATAATTATTTTTAAAAAACACTCCAGTGTTACTAAAGGAATAGTTTTGTCTAGCCACCTCTGAGTGTCAGGAAATTCAAGTGCAAAAGGACTGCAGAGGAATTCATTGGCATTTCCATAGGACAGCCAGGGATGATGAAGAGGGCTCCAAATAAGGTGTGTTTTCCTTCACTAATCATAGAGGCCACATACATTGATTCTGGAGAGAATTAGAGAACCAACAAGATTAAGCTACTCTATTAAAATAAGCATCTAAAATTTTTCCCAAACCATTTTAGTTATTTGAGTACATTTGGGAAAAAGTAAATATTTATAGTAATTATTTTTAATTCCACAACACTCTTAGGATATACCATTCAGAATTTTCCTAAGCAACTCTAAAATTTACCTAATTTTTAAATATTTTATATGTACATGTATCTGTTATATTATCTATATGAAATACATATATTTAAATAGGAAATATGTAAATTGACTAAAAACTTTAAATTGTAGGATAAAGCAAACAAACTAAACACGACTCTAGGGCAAATAAAACTAAAGGCATCCAACATATTTTTACATTTTCATTGTGCATTTAACTTAAAGTTAAAACCTGATTCAAAACAAAATATCATCTTAAAATATCTGCATGACCTTCCGGTTGACTATGAACTCATCAGTTATGATGAATAACCAAGGTAACTCTTTCTTTTCTTCCAATTCAGTGCTGAATACAAGAGAAGGACTAAATATGTTCAGAAGAGTCTTAATCCTGAGTGGAATCAAACAGTAATTTATAAAAGTATCTCCATGGAACAGGTATGCAATGATTATATTCTATGTGACAGATTTAGTATAATATATGAATACTAATGACAAAGATTATTGAAAGACTATAATCTAAATTTCAGAGAGAAAGACAAATAGAACAGCAAGAAAACATCCATATCTAATAACTTACAAATGAGTTTTTTATTTTGAAATGAAGTTTATTATTTGCCTTCTGGAAGATTTCTAAATTGACTATGAAGGTGAAGCTGGATATGAATTGTGACAAGGGTTTTTGAATTTAAAATAAGTTAAATTCACCTGCATAAATAAGAAGCACTATTGTATTTTTTGGCAATTTACTGAAACCAAAAAACTAATCCAAATATTTTATCTAAATAACCTGGACAGTTTTGCAACCTATGAATCCCATGTATTTAAAGTGTATTTATAGATTCTAAATTCTACTTTTAAAGATGGGGGTAGATTAACAGTTTATTAATAAAATTTACAAAATAGTGAGGTCTCATGATATTATACTAGGTTGGAGTATGAAGTCATTGATATGTTAGATAATATTTAGTATAAACCCACATAATTTCAGATAATATTTCAAGTATTTTTATGTAAATTTAAGGAAGTAAAAATAAATGAGGCTATAATATGAGTGTAATGAAAATTTATGATGAAAAACGATGTGAATGACATTTTTATTTGAACTGTAGCTCAAGAAGAAAACACTGGAGGTGACAGTCTGGGATTATGATAGATTTTCTTCTAATGACTTTCTTGGTGAGGTGAGCCTTTGCTTTTCTTTTCCTTGTTTGCTTTTGTTATAAACTACCAATTAGTAGTGCCTTATGCAAAGCATGAAGTTTATCAGATAAGTACTTCTGGATAAAGTCCTTTGCTAGATAGAATTTATTTTCTAATTACTCTGAAAGATGGATAGCAACTTCAGAAATGGGTTTTACTTTGCCACTTGATATAATTTATAATTAATTTGCAAGATGAAATTATTTTTTACTCATTTACTTTATTGCACAAAATACACATAACAGTCAAAGAATAACCATTCAGATACCACCATGAACATTATTATTTAAACATTAAATATGAGTTTAAGAATTTTTGCAGTTCATTTTATCCTTATAATATATTCCACTAGGGATGGAGGTAGAGTCATATTGCTATGTTTCAAAATTTTATGGAATAATCTCTCACCAACTGAGTACAGAATTAGGTTCATTTATTTTAACTTGCCTTTGATTTTTAAAGGCTTGCTTTTTCCAAATTTTTTATCGAATTTATTGGGGTGACATTGATTAATAAAATGATATATCAATTGGATAAAAAGATATATGATCATGATTTAAATTCAAATGATTATGTTAAAGATTTAAAATAAATGTATTATATATAATAATAAAAGTATAATATGCAAATTAGGCCAGGCATCCTTCCTTATGACCTTCTGGACATAGCTGGGCCTTCGAGGGAAGCCTGGGTCCCAGGTTCCAAAGGGAAATTGGTGCTTTGGCAGCCAGGGGAAGGAAGGCCTACTCTTGCATGAATTTCATGCATCGGGCCTCTAATTATATTATAAAATGTCTAGAATTTTTTAGAATGCATTTTCAGTTTATTTAATTGCTATTTCTCACTGCATGTATGAATGGTGTGACATTTTACATTCTTATTTCTTGCAAGTATCCAGAGAAAAATCTTTCAAATATTTTAAGAAGCAAACTAGAAGAGAAAACAACGAAAAGTCTTATATAAATTCTTAAGGAATCTAACCTAAACATAAAATCTGGTAGCATAAGTCAGATCCTGTGATTGTTATAATCATATTACAAAATACATATTTTTGTAAGTGGTCTTTGCTTAAAGCAGAAGTTATAAATTATTGTTTAAAAAATAATCTCCAAAAAGGTATAACATTCTGGTACAACCACATGGACTAATCTTGATCTTAGACAGGATATAGTGTTACATCTGACTTAATGCCCCCTATTAAAAAGCTAACTTATTGAAGTTCTTATAATGTATTATATTAACATGAACATAGAGAATATCTTCATTTTGCTGATGATATTCTTTTTAATATCTTATCAAATCTAAGATGCAGCAACTATAAATTCCATTATTAACCACTAAGAAAGTAAAAATGCTGCCAATTCAACATGACACAGTGCTTTCTCATCATAAACTTAGTTATATCCCTATTTCAGATGTGAACTAACTATGTTTTAAAATAGAGGGAATATGTTACTAATATTTCATTAGTTTCATTCTTTTTTAATTTTGTCCCTCTTGTACCTAAAATCAAGTCAAAAATGCTAGCCACTTTAAGGACTAGAATGTGTCCATTTAACCAAGTTTTATTTGATGAAGCAGTTCTTCACTCTACCTTTTTATAACATCACCAAAAATGCACTTAATAGTTAAAGATTTTATTCACCAAACATTCATTATGTATCCAGTATGTGCAAGTTCTTTTTTTTTTTAATGTATTTTATTGATTTTTTACAGAGAGGAAGGGAGAGAGAGAGAAACATTGATGAGAAAGAGTCATCGATCAGCTGCCTCTTGCACACCCCCTACTGGGGATATGCCCACAACCAAGGTACACGCCCTTGACCAGAATCAAACCCCGAGACCCTTCAGTCCCCAAGCCGATGCTCTATCCATGAGCCAAACCAGTTTCTGCAAGTATGTGCAAGTTCTTATTCCCAATAGCATGGGTGAAGGCAAATTAGGAAGACAACCTCATCATCCTTTGGTTTGTGTCTTTGAATAAATTTCAGATCACAGAATAAAGTAATGAATTTATTATAGCTTAATTTATATATTGACTTATTGTACTCTTTTTCAGGTATTGATTGATTTATCTAGCACATCTCACCTCGATAACACTCCCCGGTGGTATCCACTCAAAGAACAGACTGAAAGCATTGATCATGGCAAGTCCCATTCTGGTCAAAGCAGCCAGCAGTCCCCAAAGCCCTCTGTCATCAAAAGCAGAAGCCATGGTATCTTCCCCGACCCGGCCAAGGGTAGGAGATGTTTCAAGCAGAAAAAGCTTTTGTCTTTTTGTCCATTCAGTATCTTTTTTAATATGAATGCCTGAATACTGATTATATTTTGAAGGCTGTTATATTAGAAAGTATTTAATATACTATTATGCAAAGAATAAGGAGAAATGGGATATAGACTCAGATGAGCTCATGATTAAGTTCATGATCTTCACTTCTCTGACTTTCCAGTTTTCAACCTGTAAAATGGAGAAGGTTGGGTTATATGAGCTATTGGATCTTTTCCAGCTCTCAAAATCCATATTAATATGATTTCATGAGTTGAATTGGGGTATTTCATAAAGGAAACATAAAAATTCTCAAGTGTTTATTGACTAGACATAATTATGACTTATACCTATTTCTTCTAATTATTTAAATCTCTATTTTCATAATTATATTCTCAGCCATTACATGTATTATTATACACAATTTTGCACCTTCCTTTTATATATCATATAAAAAAATTATGTTCTGACATTTACCTAAAACTTTCCTAAATATTGGACTATGATTTAAAAAAAATAAATAAAAAAACAACTAATATCAGCCTGGTTGGCATGGTTCAGTGCTTGAGCATAGACCTATGAACCAGGAGATCACAGTTCAATTCCTAACCAGGGCACATGCCAGGATTGTAGGCTTCCAATCAATGGTTTTCTCTCATCATTGATGTTTCTTGCTCTCCCTCTCCCTTCCTCTCTGAAATCAATAAAAATATTTTAAGAACAACTAATATTATTATTTTAAATCTTCATCTAAGGACATTTCTATTGCTTTTAGAAAGAGAGGAAGCGAGGGAGAGAGAAAAAGGGGGAGAGAGAGGAGAGAGAGAGAGAGAGAGAGAGAGAGAGAGAGAGAGAGAGAGAGAGAGAGAGAGAGAGAGAGAGAGATTGCCTCCAGTATAATACTGTGCCAGGGACTGAACTCAAAAACTGAGTATGTACTCTGACCAGGAATTGAACCTGTTATCTTTTGTTGTATAGGATGATGCTCCAACCAATTGAGCCACACCAGCCAGTGCAACAACTAATCATATTTTATAAATTATAATGTCATGCCTTGCATTTAGCGATAGGCACAGCATTCCCAATTGAGTTAGCTTATACTTTGGGAGTATTACCAGTTACCCTATAACACAACATTAATCTTGATCATAAATTGAGTGACTGCCTATATGAAATAACCATGTAGTATCTTACCTTAATATGCTGAACTACTAAATACAAATTTTTATTTTAGACCTAAATATTGCTTCCTTTTCTCCTCTCAGAGAGTACATCAACTTGAAAAGTGGTTCTTTGCCCATTAAAAAGGAATGAATTGTAAGGGCAAATGTCCTAGGAAATAGGAAACTGAGGCTATCCATGTCCAGTAGCCAACTGAATTGATGTGATAAACCACTGATACAATGAATGCTATAGATTATTTAGATGGAAGAGTTTTATAGGTTAATTATGAATTCCATTTAGTCAGATCAACTTTGCCCTGATTAGTGTTCTGGAAGATCATGAATTTAAAGACCCCTCTCTATGACTATCTATATAAACATTCTCAAAATCACCTGAGACAAGGATTCTACAACCTCCCCTTGTATTATCTCCTAGTGACTCACATGCCTTCATCCAAGAATTCACTACATTTTTACTTACAGCTCCCCCTGTTACAATATAAGCCTATTGTCTCTTACCTGGCCCCTACTAGAATTAGCAGAGCTGCTTTGTGAAACTATAATATATTCATTCACATAAGGATCGTTAGAATGTATTCTTCTCAAGATTTGTCACCCATTTGCCTTTCCTCCCCAAAATTGCTTCCCAAATGTGTGATCATATTACTGTATGGTGAGCAGTTTCCTAAAAAGAGCCAAAAAAGAAACAGATGAACCTAAATCTCAAGACGGCTTCAAATTATGTGAGGCCAAGCTTGACAGGAGGAATGCTGGGCCAACTCTGACTCACGTTTTACTCTCTTGTAACCAGACATGCAGGTTCCCACCATTGAGAAGTCCCACAGTAGTCCTGGCAGCTCGAAATCCTCATCCGAAGGCCATCTCCGCTCTCACGGACCGTCTCGCAGCCAAAGCAAAACCAGCGTCACCCAGGCCCACCTGGAAGATGCGGGGGCCGCCATAGCTGCTGCCGAAGCCGCCGTGCAGCAGCAACGCCTTCAACCAAGTAAAAGACGCAAATAAATTCCTCAGCATGGCAGCTTAATGTTCATCTGTTGCCTTCCTTTCCTGCTGTCCTTTCCTGTTTGCTTTCTGTCTCTGGCACATCCTGCTCACTCTGTTCTCTGTCCCTTTGTCTGTGTAAGAACTATCAGTACATAATTATGCTCTTTCTTATTTAGAGTCTTTTAATTTACATAGACTGCAGTAAAACTGGCTGTTTCTCCTCTGTCTCCACCGTCCATCCAACCTGGCTAATAGTATTTGATAGCTGTGTCTATGGTGTTTGCAGGCAAACAATGTTGTGTGTCCTTTTTGTGTGCACTTAATTATCCTATAGAATACAGGAATTATAAGCACAGTGGCTGCCAGTTTTCCAGGCATTACACCAAAAAAAAAGCACACACACACACACACACACACACACACACACACACAGGCTTTTAAAGCAAATTATACACGAGATTCTTGCATCTAAAAACACTCAAAAATTCGAGGTGGGAGAGTAATTGTGACCGATAGTCAAGTTCTAAAACATAGAGGGAGAAGCCATTTCAAGCTTAAAAACTTTAATAGATAATGCATGTGGAAATGCCATAATTTCCCATGTGGAAATCTTTTTAGTCTTTTGGAAAAACAAATCTGTTGAAGAAAAGCACATGTCTTATATTCCCAAGAAAGTATATAATATTAATAATACGTGAATAAGCACATGTGATGAGGCAGAAACCTCATTAAGGAGCACAATCAGGTCCCTCCTGTTGGATCACACTTTGTATATGATAACAGAGAATTTATAGGTGGTTTTTTTCTAACCATTGGAATTCCTTTGAAAGTCAACATATCAATTGAAGTCTAACAATTCATCCATTTTAACTGCTGTCTATTCATTTAACTTGTGAAAACAGTCAATTGGTAATATGAAAACATACCAAGTACAGATATTTTTACAAACGTAGATACACTGTTACTTCCAAGAGGCATTAGCCAGACAATGGTGAGAGATGAACGTTCTCCCCATCTCCCAGAGTCGTCCTGTCCAAAGAAACAGCCAGTTTTAACCCCCTTTAGTGCTGTGCATGTGGTGTCATTATGGCATTTGAAGACACGACTTCTTTAACTAGAGCAAAAGATCACCTCTGTTTGCATGACTAACATCTAAGCTGGTTCCATCCGAGGATACATACTCTGGGTTTCCATTTCACCCACACTGCCACAGCAGCACATACAAGCGGTCAGTCTAATCATGCCAGGAAGCAGCACAGGCACAGCATAGCAGGAATCCTCCCCATTCAGAGAACTCAGTCTGATAATCTGCCTCCACCAGCCAATGGCAACCAAGACCAAAGCCAGCTAGCCCTCAGGAAGGCGATGTCCGATGGACCAGTCAAGCCAGAAGGAGGTGAGCAGAAAGGCACTATTCAAAGCACACAGCAAGAACATTCCCCAAACATTAAAGCCCTCGCCTCTTAATTGTTAGAGATTGTCTGGTGAAATATGTTTATCCCCCTTTTTAATGTGCTTTTGTGGGCATGGCATTTCAGGACGTCATCATCACCATGTAAGTCCCAAGATCAGCCCCGTAATTATACTGACTACAGCGATTTGTATTTTTCTATGCTCTGGGCATCTCTTGAGTTTTTGTTGGGGAAGTAGATTAACAGTATTCATATTGCAGAATGGAATGCATGCGACTAACCTCATCTGTTCAAGCATGACTATAAATATGTTGCATTGTGATAAAACTTTAATCTGCTCAAAATTCGAGTTAGCATACCAGTGAATATGTAGATCAGTCTTTGTTTACATATCATTTCAAGTGTAACTTTTAAAAAATTCGGTGGATTTTGGAAATTCTTAGAGGAAAGTAAAGGAAAAAAAAATTGTTAATGCATTCATTCACCTTTACATGGTGAAACTTCTCTTTATCCTACAGACAGACATTTTCCACTCATGTTTTCGTAGTTGTTAAGTGTATCGTGTTGGGCATGTGAATATCCAAGTGCCTGTGTAATAAATAAAGTATCTTTATTTCATTCATAAACTACTGGGTTCTGAGCCATTGTTATATGATGCAGCTTAAAATGAGTGTGTCAGTTTTTGCTTTCTCATTTGATAACCTTGCAATAGAGTATTTATAGTCACTGCTCCATTGTTAGTGAGTGCTCTAATAACAGTGATTTGGGGAACAGACCAAAGCTTCATGCCAAAAACATTATAAAGTAGGTGGGAAATTCTTTCCAAATAAAAGTATCAGAGCTCACATAATAAACATGCAAATAAGTAATGGAGTTGGGGGACCCCTAGGCTCTCTTCCACTCTTTCTTTCTCTCACATCTGATCTATTTCACAATCTTCTCAGAGTCCTGGATAGAGGAAACAAATTCTATGAGCCCTTGCTGTAGAGATGCATCTAAGCTTGATTCCATAGCTGTGTTCAGAAAAGAAAGCAAGCTTATCTCTGTCCCAAATTTGACCCAACATTTGTGAAATTTTCCCTTAGAAAGAGTGCCAGTGACAGGAATCAAATGAGAGTGATTATAAAATTATCTTCAAATTCAATTCAAAACCATATATAAAATATTGTGTTGTGTGGTTTTTTTTTAAATAGGATAGTGTTTGCCCCTAAGTCTCTTCTAGCCATAAAATACTTTGTTTTATGATTCTATGCTTTCCAGTTAAAGTCAAGCCTTAAACTATTCTATAGAACTTCTCTTCATTCTCAGGAAAACTAAAAAATTTAATACACTCTTATCCCAACTAATCAGATATTTAGGGCCTATGGAAAATATATGTGGCAATATAAAAAGCTAACCACTCTGATGTTTCTTTAATTATGTAGCTAAAATTTTTCAAAATTGGCACTATAATCCTCATCTTGTTACTAGGCCTACGCCTTAGCTTAAAAAGCAATTAGCTTAAACATTAGCATAATTCTGAATGTGCCCAACATAGATTAGCTCCAAAGCACAAATTACCCTTTCCAGTTAGCCTTACTATGGTAGTGCTTTTCTAAAGTACTCAAATTCCTCCTCTGACCTTTTTCTTCCATCAAGTAAGTTTTGTTGATTTCTTAATGGTATTCATTTTCTTCCTTCAAATATTTCATAATCATAAATATTGAAGTAGTCAAGTAGTTACCTTATTTCACATTCCATGTTTAATTATGATTTAAGTACTACTATATAATATTTTGTCTGATTTTTTCTATCAATAGATATTTTTGTTAAAAAATTGTAGCAAATTGTTTTCAATCCCCTTTCTTTGAATAATGCACTAATGGATATTCTTCTACCTTTAAAGTGCTATGATTGAATCTTGAAATCATTTTTTATTGAAATTATAATCAAAAGGAAATCAATATACCATAACATAGAGTCTTATTTAATTTTATTTTAATAGATGATAAAGCAAATGCACTGTTTTTTAAAATCTAAATATTTTATATCCCTGCTACTATAAATGTACCAGGAATATAATTCAGCCATGCATTTTTCCAAACAACTAGTGGCAAATATAGAATTAAATTTCTATAAAATGTTGTATAATGACTTTAAAACTTAGAGAGAAAATGATAAGAGATGTAAACATATGAAAAGCCATCAAGTTCCTGTTCACTAACTGCAGAAATAAGTATTATTACTGATTTTAAGAGATTGGATAAAAGGCTCCCATTTCAAACCTCACAGGTGAGTTCATATAGTCCTATCTGCATTCTGAAAATAATGCATGGAACTAATTCTTCATGTCTTACAAACTGTTTTGTCGCCCATCTTCTCATTTTATCACACCAAGGTGATGAGGTATTCATGGCCTATGTTGTTCTGAGTAAGCAATTTGAGAGTCATCGGGCTAGAATAGACTTATCTAGCTAGAAACTTTCAAAGTCGGCAGTATAGCCTTAGTCGTAAGGCCTAAGCCTTTGCTTTTTAAGTACACTAGCTCCTTTGAAATAGAACTCCCCTGATTGCAATAAAAACAGTTGTCATCTACGTATTTATTCCTCACCCAAGTTCCAACACATGATTAGAGGTTTCTAGAAATGAATATAATTTAGACTTGCTGCTCTACCTACATGATCCTCTTTTCTGAAGGCTGATGATTAAGCTGCCACAAACCCACGAAAATAAAATCCTCTCACTGCACAAGCACAGTGTGGTGTCAGGAAGCAGAACCCATGGAGGAGGCTGTGTCATTTCTGCCAAGGGTGACGGAATTGTCTCTAAAGAGCTTTTCAAGTGTTTGTGGTTTTTTCTGTTGTTGTTGTTTTGTTTGTTTCTGAGATTTTCAGCAGATTTCTGCTTAAAGTAGCATGAAACATGGGTCAGGCAAGAATTATGGAGTGAGCCAAAGGAACTTTCCCTTTCCCTTCGGGGTTTGGTTGCATGCTAGGAAACCTGAGGAGAAGCATTGTGCCAGATTGTGCCAGATCATCCTGATGCCTAAACAACTCTTGCTTGTACTTAGAAATCCCTGGAAATGGCTTTTTTAAGCCGTTTGGGTTGAACACAGGCCTGTTCTTTTCAGAAAGTGACACTACCCAGGGAAGAGAGTTTAAAAAGTAAAGAGTTTTTTTTTTTTTTCTTTTGCTCATTTTGTAAACCATATCAGATGAAAACAAATGGAAGCACTCCCAAAAGCCTTGCAAATGAATTTATTCAACATTCAATATATGCAATTGGAAGTTCCTGAGCTATTTTTGTTTGGGGCTAAGATTTTGGGTGAATTTTAAGTTGAGACCCAGGAACACAGGGTGAATAGAAATCTCCCTTCACTCTGGGCAAGAAGAGCTGTTGGGATGGGTTGATGAGGTTAGGTGAGAAGAATCATGGAATTAGTTGTGTGAGGGACTTTGAGTTTCCTAGGTGGAGCCCCATTGTAGGAGAAAAGCTTGAAGCTACTTTCACAGACCAATCCTGCTGGAAACCATGTTCAGTGAGGCTGACTGTGGCCCCTGTCCCTGAAGAGCTTCATATGCTTACCTGGCCGTGGGGAACTCGGAGTAAGCCATCACTCTGTGGAGCTGCTCTCTTGGGCAAGTGGTAGGGGGCGGCTAGGGTGGGATGCGGGGCGGGCACTGGGAGTGGAGGGCATTGTTTCAAAAGGTAATTTTTTATTTTAAGAGTTTCCATATGTCCTTTGAAGTGTGCATTTTCAACTCTTTCTGGAGCCATCTAACATTTATTGTCAGTACTCTCTGCTACACATGCAGAGTCACAGACAGTAAATGAATAGCTCTGGCCATATGACACTGTCTCTTGCTGATGGACCTCTGTTCACAAAGACGAATCCACTGATCTACCTTCAATGGAATATTTTTGTTCTTTTCCAGTAGTAGCCATGGGTCTGCACGAGTCACCCACATAATGTATGTCTGATTCACGCTGGGAATATGTATGTTCATTTCATCTGACATGAATAGCAAGACAGTTGGCCTAAGAGTCAAATTTTCTTCAGTATGCTGTGTCTTAGTCAAATGATCAAGTTATGGGCCTATATAATTAGATATAAATTATTCATAGATTATTTGAGAGGAAGAGAAAGACCTAATTTTAACATGTCACAGTCCTTTAAGTACTGATTATGAGGTGTCTTTACCAAAGTTAAACTTAATTTTTAAAATGCAACTTATTTTACTTTGGGTTCAAGAAAATTATCCATATATATGTAATTACAAGTATAATTACATATGTGTGTACATATATGTACTATATATGTATATGTACTAGGTGTATATGAATGTATGTGTATATATGTTGATATTGATATTTAGAGAGAGAGGAAGGGAATGGGAGAAACATTGATATGAGAGCGAACACTACTTGGCTGCCTCCTGTATACCCCCTGACAGGGATGGAGCTGGCAATCAGGGCATGCGCCCCAATCAGGAGTCAAACCAGCAACCCTTTGGTGTACAGGATGATGCCCAACCAACTGAGCGACACTGGCCAGGGCAAGAAAATTATTCTTTACAAAGTTAATTTATGAAATTAAACACCAGAGAGCAGAAGCCTGAGGAAATGAGACAACAAGTAAATGGTGATGGAGAAAAAAAAAATAATAAGAAGCATGGAGCATGAAACAGCTGATGGGGCACAGTGAGGGGCCCTGGACAAAAATTACACCATGAGCACGGGGCTGGGAACATTATCACCTGGGCAGGAGGGGTCCAGGGAAATGCTACCCAAGGCAGAGGAACTCCAAAGACATCATCGGGCTACTTAACAGTATTGCCTACATCCAGGTATCTAAATCACCCATGAACTACTTACTTTCCCCCCACTTTCCATCCACATGCGTTATATTATGTAAAATCATGAAATTTCACCCATTCTTTTTTGTAGAAGATAATTGGAGGGATGACCTATGGATATGGGATAGGATGAGAGGAATCTTCATAGG